CATAGGGGCACCTGTCACAAGGCACCTTTTCAATCAGAATACCTTAAAAGACAGATCTGGGTCCTGGTAGGCCCCACACAGTGATTTCTATAGTTTGTTACCATGCTAAAGAATTCAATTATATCGTAAACATTGACAGGCCTTTTCCATGGAATATTTTATCATATTCTGTATAAGGACAAACTGGGCCAAGTTTGACCATTCTCCTCCAAGTCCACTCCAAAATGGACTTCATATTGGGTTCTGATATCTGACTTTACAAATATCAGGTATGATAAGAGATTTAACTATTATACAAATTAATTGAGTCTATTTTGTAAGTATGTTAACATCATTGGTATATTAACTCTGTCATTGTCAACAAGTTGTGTTTGTCCTCTCGTGCTGTCTGTCTGTAGTTTGTTGTGTGTGTGTCCCCTCCTGCTGTCTGTCTGTAGTTTGTTGTGTGTCGTCTCCTGCTATCTGTCTGTAGTTTGTTGTGTGTGTCCTCTCCTGCTGTCTGTAGTTTGTTGTGTCTGCATTTCATGCTGTCTGTCTGTAGTCTGTTGTGTGTGTCCTCTCCTGCTGTCTGTCTGTAGTTTGTTGTGTCTGCATCTCATGCTGTCTGTCTGTAGTTTGTTGTGTGTGTCCTCTCCTGCTGTCTGTATGTAGTTTGTTGTGTCTGCATCTCATGCTGTCTGTCTGTAGTCTGTTGTGTGTGTCCTCTCCTGCTGTCTGTCTGTAGTTTGTTGTGTCCGCATCTCATGCTGTCTGTCTGTAGTTTGTTGTGTGTGTCCTCATGCTGTCTGTCTATGGTTTGTTGTACATATCCCCTCATGCTGTCTGTCTGTGGTTTGTTGTACATATCCCCTCATGCTGTCTGTTTCGATAGTTTTATCTTTCACAGTATATAAAATATACATAGAGATAACAAAACCTACAAGTAAGGATATATCAGGTGATCTTTTATTGATCTGAGTCTGAGATATATAATGTTGGAGAATTGAGAAATTCCACAATGAAGGTATACACTGAACCAGAATAGCATTAAACCCAGCACGTTGTGACATATCTTACCTCTCACAGTGATCATGAGTTCACTACCTCTTTTATAGTAGCTGTTTCCTTTCCTTTTTATTTGAAACTACCTGGTTCTGAATATATCATCGACAAAGCAATATTCTTTATGGGGTCAGAATTCTATTTTTCTAACATTGTGAGATTTTTTGTTCTCATCCAACGTACTTCTTTCCTAACTAAATTACATTCTTTTGTTAAGTCCTCGCCATCACACATGTGTTGTGTGGTGGTAAGTCCTCGCCATCACACATGTGTTGTGTGGTGGTAAGTCCTCACCATCACACGTGTGTTGAGTGGTGGTAAGTCCTCTCCATCACACATGTGTTGTGTGGTGGTAAGTCCTCACCATCACACGTGTGTTGCGTGGTAGTAAGTCCTCGCCATCACACATGTGTTGTGTGGTGTTAAGTCCTCGCCATCACACATGTGTTCAGTTATGATAAGTCCTCCCATCACACATGTGTTGAGTGGTGGTAAGTCCTCTCCATCACACGTGTGTTGTGTGGTGGTAAGTCCTCGCCATCACACATGTGTTCAGTTATGATAAGTCCTCCCATCACACATGTGTTGAGTGGTGGTAAGTCCTCTCCATCACACGTGTGTTGTGTGGTGGTAAGTCCTCTCCATCACACATGTGTTGGGTGGAGTTAAGTCCTCGCCATCACACATTTGTTGCGTGACGGTAAGTCCTCCCCATCACCTGGGTATTATATTACTGACTTCATGACCAGGACAAATATCTGTATTCTTAGTGATAATAGATATTTTTTTATTGGTATCAGTGTTGGTGTCCTTGATGGATCTTTTCTAAACATAAAAGTTAAACGATGTTTATTAACAATATAAAGTTACTCATGACTACAAAATTGATATGTAGAACTCCACAATCAAACTAAGAGTTCACAAGTTCAACTGTGTGACCTTGAGAACTGAGATGCTTCAGAAGTTACTCATTATATATACAGGTGTATCTGATAATCTGTTTTTGTCAATTTCCATTTTCTAACCAGGTTAGTGATGGTTCATTGTTGAAACTGTATCTGTACTGTGACGACCACAGATAAGGGAGATGGGTTTTCCTTAACCATTACACTTTGACTTTTCAATCAAAATTTACATTACATTGCACATACTTGTGAAGAGTAATATCTCATGGAGGTGTATTTAAAAGGGAGCAAAATATTTAGATATAGAAAACTTGACATTTACTCGTACTGAAGCAGTTCCTCAGTACAATCTGCAAAAGTGAAACCAGTTATGTTGATTTTAAGGGTTCGAAATTCATTGAAACGAATAGATGATAAAAAGATTGCAAGATTTATTCATCCTTAAATGGAATTTGATTGTAAATGTTATCAATGTTATGGTGTTCTATTTATTTGTGGAATTTTATTACCAAGTATTGTGAAAGGAAACTAATGTGACAGTTTCTCTAAGGCTACTTGCGAAAGTGAAATTCATGGGAGATCACAGTGTTAAGCGTAAATTAGCGGACATTTAACAGCAGGAGACGTTCAGTCTGGTGATATATGGTCATGTGTGTATACACTTAATGGCCAACTCAGGTGGACATGGGTTTCACCGTAGTGGACGAAACATCTTTGTACTCATGAGCCTCTCAAGTTATGTTTTAACTTTAAGATATTGCTGAGAACCGCCACTTTTACTTACAGTATATGTTGCAGATTTCGATCACTTATTAAAGGTGAATGAACGTGGTGCACAACTTAATCATTGTTGTTTGGCCGTTTTGTATGCCTATAACAATGATTACTAGGATAGAATTACAGAGATTAGTGAGGGCGGTGCTCGTATCCTGTAACATTTAAATAACATTTCTACAATAAAAACTGCTGAACAGATTTATTGGAACAGATAGATTGTTCATGATCAAAACCAATGAATTTTGAATGCTTTAAATATTTTTTTGGTAAGGTTTCACTAAAATCTTTATCACAGCACAATAAGCATTGTTATTGAACTGAAAGGATATTTGACTGGTTTTTTTGAGGAGGTCTACACTATCAGGACATAACTTGAGTGTTGGTTAGAGTGGTGACAGGTGGAATTTGTTTATTGTTCAGAAAACAGCAGACATATTTGTTCATTGTTACCTGCCAACTGTCAGGTGTTGTTTTCAAATTCTTTTTTTTTTTTAGACTTTTTGTTTGGTAAAATGTTTTTCCTTAGTTTTCTTGAATGTGATTCTCTGAAAACTGGAATTTTCCTGTATAGAAATACCTTTTGTGTGCATTCAGAATGAAAACTTCAAAAATGCCTAGGGAAAGTAAGGTGAATATACTTTTACTTTAAATGACTCATTTACCACCAAAGTAATTAGTTTTCAGACAGGATGTAGTTTATGGGGATGGAAAATGTTTATTTGCGGGTTTCGGTTATAGTAATTTGTTTGAAAAAACCTGAATGTTTATTTACAAAGTGATTTACCAGAAGATTAGATTTCGGTCAAAAACGTTCTTAGCAGATAGAGCTAGATTAGAAAATATATAGAAAATATTTTCCATAAACAAAATGATATCCATGACACCTTGTACACTGAGAACAGTTTTGCTGTTTTGCCTCGGCCTTGAGTAGGTTATTACTGTGTTGTGTATACAAATCTTGTTTATTGTTACATTGGATGTCAAACTTGTAGAAATCATTTTACAGCAATACTTAGATCCCTGAAGAAGGATGTGTTGACTGGGTGTCGCAGGTAAAAAAGGGCGTATAGAACATCGTGTGATTGATTACCATCACGCTATTCTTTGTAATAGCCCTCACCTGCCTCCTCCTTACAATTTGTAAAATTTCTTTATTTTTGTCCCATTGTTAAGGTTTGCTGTAATCATTGAAAGTATTTTTGAAGACATCGTGTACCATTGTAGTCACTTATAACCTAGATGTAGACGGGCGGTATTGATTTCATGTCTGTCAATACCCCCTAAAATCGATATCCTACATTTTTTAAAACACTCATTGTATTTATAGGAAAACTTTAACTAATCTATACAGGTAGCATGGTCTAATGCTTTTGTTTTTGTCTCATTTCAGCTTCGAACCTAAGAAGAAAGTTTTAAATCAGAACCTCCAATCAGATCACGGAACCTAAACGTCAACGTTCCTCTATATCGTCTTACCAACAGTTTGGACGGTTAAATCAGAACGCTGTGTTTGTGTAAGGCATTTTCGAAGATACACATCGCAAAGTTTCATCTTCTATATTCTTGTTGAGTTTTCTGTGGACTAGATTCGCTGCGGGCAGTATGACTACAAAAGAGGATATGAGAGATTTATAGACTGAGAATAATACGGTTCTGAACAAGCATGACTGCACACAATTTGTGATAAAAACTTTACCATACATTATTTATACAATGTAAAAATCATTGACACCATGTAAACTTGCTCACCCTGGAATTCTTTTGTGAAGGGCTTGTGGTACCCCTATCATAGGATAACCCCTAAAGGGAAACCTAACCCGTCGGGATTGTACACAGAAAGATTGACTTGCAGGGGGACATACTTGTGCTTTGTGCTTTCCCTCCATTTCTCCTGAAGACCTGGTAGTGTTACCGGAGGTCGGAACAAAAAGGGCTGCATTCCTGGTGAGGACTCCAATATCGTGGATACCTATAATGATTATGAGCATGGACACATTAGGTGGATTATCTCGCGTGGATATAAGCTATAGACACAGGACTGTCCTCTGTAGTTGTAAGATTTGGAAGGTGTAGTTGATGACTGTACTGGTCACCTTTGATGTGCTATCATTTATAGGTAACAAGACGCTAATTGACTATTTGATAGCTAGCTGACAGGATTGACACGATACTTTCAAGTCTACCATTAAGTTGGATGTTTAAGCAGCAGTAATAACTGCTGTGATAATGTATTTATTGTGATTCATCAACAGTCGTTCAAAGGAAACAACACCAATCATGGGGTGTCTGTGTTTACCTGTGTGTTTCAGTGTTTACATTATAATATCATTGCTACTTCATGTTGGTGAAGTGGTACTGAATACGTTTTTCGTGGTGTATCTGTTCCCATCGATGGAGACATGGTTCACAATTGTACTTGGACTAATGATGTTGCCGATGGTGTTGGTACAACTAGTTTCTGCTCTTCTCCTCCTCCAGAAGCGAGGGGAACACCTGACTTGCTGGCAGGCTCTGTCTACTGCTGTTATACATATTCTCCAGCTCGGTTTCGTATGGAGACACATAAGAATCATAAAGGAAACTGAAGTTCTATGGAAAAAGCGCGACCTGGCAGATCTTTTGCTGTTACGACTGTTTTATGCGTTTTCTGCGAGTCTGCCGATCCTTGGAATCCAGGCTTATTTCATCATCTTTAAAGGAGTAGAGGACACAATTATTCTGAGTGCTGCGACTGTAACACTTTTTTCGACATGCTGGGTTCTAAGTAGCTTTAGACGTCATAGTGAAACGGACGCTATAGAAAACATAGCTCTTTCTTGTCCTGGTACAATGTTTCGTTTGCTGTGGAGAATGGGAGAAATTATTTCCCGTGTGTTATCCCTGGCGGTGTTTGCGTCTGTCTATCATTACTGGGTGTTCGTGGTGACGGGCTTGCACTGGCTTACGATGCTAGTGTGTATCTGTACTTCCTTTTTGGGCGTTCTCGAGATTAAGGCAGTGAACCGTTGTTACAAGTTTTTTCTGTGCATGCTAATATCCTATATGTACATCTTCTGCCATGTGAACTTCAGCAGTGAAGGTGCTCAGTTTCGTTACATCACATATTATGTAATAATGTTTCTTGAGAATGGAGTTCTGACGACAGTGTGGTACTTCAGCGTGCAGGGGTTGGTAGACATGCTCAAAGTCTATACCCTATTATTTATCATCTGTTGTGCATTCCTCATATCTATTGTATCCATGGTGATTTATTACAAGATCTTCCACATTCCTTCCTCAGATGTATCGAAGGAAAACCATTCCGATTTGTGTGTACAGGATGGATGTATAAACTGTAAGCTCAGTCTGTGTGTTAAACATAGTAAGATTTTACAAAGACCTTTCAGTGCGGGCTGGATTTCCCAATACCAGGAGGCTCTAATTAATGGTGACTATTACAAAAATCTGCTCCAAGACTCGTTCATTGATTCAGAAAATGAATCTAAATCCACAGTTTCTGGGTCTTGCTCCGGTAAAGAGGAGATGAATGAAAGCAAAGAGGACGTTGTGAGTCCATTTATGAGAAAGACGTACAGTTTTCAGTCTAATGGTACTTATAGTCACCGTCGTTTCATTAGAGGTGACGTTCAGACATTGGCTGCGCCAAAGGACAATTATGACTCTGAGAGTATGTTGTCTTATATCGCACCAACTGTACCAACAGGGTCGAGTGCGAGTGGATCCTCATCAGATGAAAGTGACATTTCCTTATCCCCACCTCAGCTTCAGGATAGTCCCGCCAACAGTCAGACTCACTTACTAACAGACAGTTGGGATAATCTACAACAAGACAATTTGGGATTTGATCCAAGTACAAAGAAAATGTTGCCTGGATTTCGACCAATCCCAGCTCAGAACCTGGAAGAATGGTACTCTGATGGCTACAGCACAGACCACACTGAGTCTGTGTATCAGCTTCCTATAACAGTTCTTGCCAAAATGAAAAATTGCCGGTCAAGATCTAGAGATCGGACATCCTTAGCCTCGGACTCTACAGAGTGTACAATGTGTAGAAACATGAAATCCTACAAACTTATCCGTAAATATTCTCGTGCGTCAAGTGTGATATCTAAAGAGGATGTTATTCAGGAGGAGCGGGAGGACGATAAAAACCTCTCTGGCAATAATGATAATGTGTATTTATATTCCTACCGAAAAGACATCAGTTCAATTATTAAGGACCCTAGGAGAATTACTGATCCAGACTATGTGGATTCTCCGCGGGGCCAAGCATGGTACAACTGTAGTGAGTCAGGGGACAGTGCATTTCCACAGGAATACTTTAGCTCTAGTAACTTTGAAACAACTTTTGATGAGAATGAGGATGGTATTAGTGAGTCCAGCTATGAACTAATTATATAGAACTATATTTTGGTGAAAATACAGGCACTTTAATTGATTCATTTCCCTTACACAATTGATACTCTGTCTGTTACTATTAATATTTAAACTCTGGAGGGCACCAGCAGAACATTTGTCTTTTCTGTAAAACAATACAGTACTGTCATGCTATGTTCTGCTTGGCACATATAGAATGACATATGGTGAAATCCATTGTACTGTTAGATTAGATATGTACTATAGAGAGGCAAGGTAACAGTATTATATAGGGAAGTCAAGCAGAATCACTTATATATGGTAAATATTCTAACCCACCATGCACACAATTACAATAGGGAGGCAAAAAACCCATAACAATTAATATACAAAAGTCAAACATGGTTACTAGTTAGTATGGTAAAGGGAAGCCTATGGTTTGGTGAACTGTGATGTGACATAAGCAGATGTTCACTTCAAAGTCATGATATTTTGACCCCAGTTCATTTCCCAGTGCCTCTTAATACTATGTCATACTGGTGGTACTCTTGATTATATATAGTAAAGAGATTTCGTTTATACGTAACAGTCTGTGTCTCCTCTGTGAACTGTTAGATAACTATACTGTTATAGTTAGTGTCTCCTCTGTGAACCATTAGATAACTATACTGTATAGTTAGTGTCTCCTCTGTGAACCATTAGATAACTATACTGGTATAGTTAGTGTCTCCTCTGTGAACCATTAGATAACTATACTTGTATAGTTAGTGTCTCCTCTGTGAACCATTAGACAACTATACTGGTATAGTCTGTGTCTCCTCTGTGAACCATTAGACAACTATACTGGTATAGTCTGTGTCTCCTCTGTGAACCATTAGATAACTATACTGGTATAGTTAGTGTCTCCTCTGTGAACCATTACATAACTATACTGGTATAGTTAGTGTCTCCTCTGTGAACCATTAGATAACTATATTGGTATAGTTAGTGTCTCCTCTGTGCACCATTAGATAACTATACTGGTATAGTCTGTGTCTCCTCTGTGAACCATTAGATAACTATACTGGTATAGTTAGTGTCTCCTCTGTGAACCATTACATAACTATACTGGTATAGTTAGTGTCTCCTCTGTGAACCATTAGATAACTATATTGGTATAGTTAGTGTCTCCTCTGTGAACCATTAGATAACTATATTGGTATAGTTAGTGTCTCCTCTGTGCACCATTAGATAACTATACTGGTATAGTTAGTGTCTCCTCTGTGAACCATTACATAACTATACTGGTATAGTTAGTGTCTCCTCTGTGAACCATTAGATAACTATATTGGTATAGTTAGTGTCTCCTCTGTGCACCATTAGATAACTATACTGGTATAGTTAGTGTCTCCTCTGTGAACCATTACATAACTATATTGGTATAGTTAGTGTCTCCTCTGTGAACCATTAGATAACTATATTGGTATAGTTAGTGTCTCCTCTGTGCACCATTAGATAACTATACTGGTATAGTTAGTGTCTCCTCTGTGGACCATTAGATAACTATACTGGTATAGTTAGTGTCTCCTCTGTGAACCATTAGACAACTATACTGGTATAGTCTGTGTCTCCTCTGTGCACCATTAGATAACTATACTGGTATAGTTAGTGTCTCCTCTGTGGACCATTAGATAACTATACTGGTATAGTTAGTGTCTCCTCTGTGGACCATTAGATAACTATACTGGTATAGTTAGTGTCTCCTCTGTGAACCATTAGATAACTATACTGGTATAGTTAGTGTCTCCTTTGTGAACCATTACATAACTATACTGGTTTAGTCTGTGTCTCCTCTGTGAACCATTACATAACTATAATGGTAAAGTCTGTGTCTCCTCTGTGAACCATTAGATACCCTGGGTAACTATACAGGTAAAAACTTAGTGTTTTCTCCCTGGTTCACTTGATGTATGAGGTTTTGGGATCTACTTTTTTTGACAGACAGTGAGATCAATAACACATTGTTGAAGACTTTTGAGATCACATGATTCCTGTGCTGGACCATTACCAACGTAATGTATATGTACCAGGTACTCTGCCCTTGTATATTGTGTTTACATTGGAATCTGTGTTAATGTCTCCATCAAACACAGTCAAGCTATTGTGTCAGGCTAAAGGCTTCACTATTCACAAAATTTCAAAGGGTCTTTTTTTTCATTTTGATTTAAGAATGAAAGCATTTTTTTTTTTTTTTTTACAATTGAAACATGTGGAATGTGTCTTAAGGTTGTCGAATCTTAAAATTTGCCTTTGGGTATTGAATGCATTGTCATGTCAATATGTCACCTTTATCTTTTTCAATGTTCAGTTGCCGAGATTTTAACAACTTTTTCCTTCTTTGTTAGATTTATAGGTCAAACACAAGTCCATATTGATCTAGTACAAACTGACGGTATTGAAATTACAGAAAATAGACCACAATTTAACTCACAATAGAAGTGCTAATAAATACTTTGTGCTTGTCTTTTACAAACACGATTCACATATTTGAGGAGAAAAAAAAGGAATATTTATTTTTATACAAAAGTGTTTCACATAGATTTTATTTACCTGTCCTACAGGTAAAAAAAAATCTCTTATCATATATGGGCAGTATATCTAAGTTTTAGAAGTTTGATATTGTAGGTTGTATTGAGGTACCTTGGTAATTCTCTCTATTATGTTTATCTATGTAGAAGTTTTAAACTTCGCTAAACTAATCAGAGACAAAAATACAAGCAGTTTTCTTACAAATCTACCAGAGTTGTACCACCAACTTAATTTTTTTCATCATAAAATTGGCTTTTATCTTTTTTAGCTTTCCCTGCCGAGCAGTTACAGTGATATATTTTTTGTCAGTTGGTGTCGGCCCTTCTTACAAGTTCCTGCCCTACCTATGAGTTACTTCAGTTTTTTTTTACCTACCAATTACCATGATAATGTTACTCTTGTGTATATAAGAATGAGTGCAATATTAATAACATTGTATTAATGTACAGTGTTTTAGGCAGATATATGTTTTATGGTATACACAATGTGTAAAATTGATGATGCATTTTAATTTGAATTAATTTTAAACATTATTTTTTCAAGCATGATAGAAAATTTTCTTTTAAATTTAAAGATGGTTTTAACACTTTCAGTCTACAAATAGAGTTATTTTTTGTATTTAAAAATGTTTTGAATTGACCATTTTCCCATGCATGAAGTTTTAAACATATATCACACTGGTATTATTTATAGCACTCATTACATGTCAGGATCCCTTCATCAGCCAGTAACTTGCTGTAATATTTGATAATTATAGGGCCAAGGTGTTATAAGCATCCCCAACACGTATGTGTATATTTATATGCTCAGGAAAATGTGTATCAGAAAGACATATAAGTAATATAATACAAACCATTCTAAAAAAATCACACAAATCTACTGATATGCTGTATCAAAATTGATTACTTATAAATTTTTCCCGAGAAATGTGATATTATTTTCTCTTTGTCTACCTCAGACGTCTGTAATGTTTCTTGCCCTGTGAGTATACTCTCAGTATTTTGCCCGGGCTTTTTGTAAATACTTGATGTAATATCGCAATACTAGAAAATTTTGTTCAACTTCATCAACCAAAGTTAAACACAAATGTTGATAGTATTTCAGGAAATAAAAGACAGAAACCAGTATTGAGTTCAGAAGAAAAGTATATCATTCAGTAGAGTTTTGTTCAAGTTTAATGAGATACTATTGTGCAGTGTATATTTTGTTATATATATATTTCATATTGATACAAGTATATTGATAATAAACAAATGCAAACATTTGACTTTCTCGTGTTTTACTTGAATTGAAACAAACAGCTCAACAAATTAATGGAATATTGTGGAATTAACAAGTATTTATAACTTTCATAGGGCCAACAGATGGTAGCAACACTACAACATACTGTATAGATGACAGGGTGACCTTTAAAACTTTGACATCCAGCAGATGATAGCAACATTATCATGTACTGTAAAGAGGACAGGGTGACCTTCAAACCTGTGACATCCAGCAGATGGCAGCAACACTACCACATAATGTAAAGAGGACAGTGACCTTCAAACCTGTGACTTCCAGCAGAAGGTATCAGACTGTACAGAAGACAGGGTGACCTTCATAACTGTGATGTCCAGCAGAAGGTATCAGACTGTACAGAAGACAGAGTGACCTTCATAACTGTGATGTCCAGCAGAAGGTATCAGACTGTACAGAAGACAGGGTGACCTTCATAACTGTGACGTCCAGCAGAAGGTATCAGACTGTACAGAAGACAGAGTGACCTTCATAACTGTGATGTCCAGCAGAAGGTATCAGACTGTACAGAAGACAGAGTGACCTTCATAACTGTGATGTCCAGCAGAAGGTATCAGACTGTACAGAAGACAGAGTGACCTTCATAACTGTGATGTCCAGCAGAAGGTATCAGACTGTACAGAAGACAGGGTGACCTTCATAACTGTGACGTCCAGCAGAAGGTATCAGACTGTACAGAAGACAGAGTGACCTTCATAACTGTGATGTCCAGCAGAAGGTATCAGACTGTACAGAAGACAGGGTGACCTTCATAACTGTGATGTCCAGCAGATGGTAACAGACTGTACAGAAGACAGGGTGACCTTCATAACTGTGACGTCCAGCAGAAGGTATCAGACTGTACAGAAGACAGAGTGACCTTCATAACTGTGATGTCCAGCAGAAGGTAACAGACTGTACAGAAGACAGGGTGACCTTCATAACTGTGACGTCCAGCAGAAGGTATCAGACTGTACAGAAGACAGAGTGACCTTCATAACTGTGATGTCCAGCAGAAGGTATCAGACTGTACAGAAGACAGGGTGACCTTCATAACTGTGATGTCCAGCAGATGGTAACAGACTGTACAGAAGACAGGGTGACCTTCATAACTGTGACGTCCAGCAGAAGGTATCAGACTGTACAGAAGACAGAGTGACCTTCATAACTGTGATGTCCAGCAGAAGGTAACAGACTGTACA